ATATACATATTAAGAAGAATATTATGGAATTGATCAAGAAAGATAAACAGAATGTTTAAAAATTGTTTGTCGTCATCTTTCTTGATCAATTTCATAATACAAGTGTTTTAGAGGTGATTTATGATTTAATTAATGCAATAAGTATTAAATATATTAACAAGCAATTATTTATTATGACATCATCACAATGATGGGCTGCAATTTTTAATCATATTTTTTAATTTAAAATATGTTCTCCACCTCAAATTAGTAGTCCCCTGATCATCATACTTTCCTTTAATAATAGTCATGCAAGTCATCTAACACTTTTCAGAGGGAAATTTTTGAATTGAAATCATATGAATTCCAATTTGCATGAGAAGTTTTTATATAGTTAATTGGGGTCTCCTGCCCCTAATCTTTCCATATCTGGTCTTGACTTTCATGTATCTAACTCTGTTCTTGAGAGTAAGGAAAGACAGAACGATGGACAAACAGTGGAAATTTATAGGTCTGCAATTTTTGAAATTGCAGCCCAATTATTGTACTTACCATAACCTTGACGAACAATAACTTCAGGAGCAATATATTCTGGTGTACCATAAACTTGTTTATCATTGAACTGTTTTGATTCTCGATCAATATATCCTTCATATAAATTGGTAGCCACTACAATTAGAGTTTTCATATTATTAGATAAACATAATAATGATTAAAAAGAATATNGTCTTGACTTTCATGTATCTAACTCTGTTCTTGAGAGTAAGGAAAGACAGAACGATGGACAAACAGTGGAAATTTATAGGTCTGCAATTTTTGAAATTGCAGCCCAATTATTGTACTTACCATAACCTTGACGAACAATAACTTCAGGAGCAATATATTCTGGTGTACCATAAACTTGTTTATCATTGAACTGTTTTGATTCTCGATCAATATATCCTTCATATAAATTGGTAGCCACTACAATTAGAGTTTTCATATTATTAGATAAACATAATAATGATTAAAAAGAATATGAAAAATAAAACTTAGAATTATTTTAGTTCTTAATATTCAAAACAGCTAAAAAATAAAATACTTTTTATAATTTAACTTTATGTCCTATTAAAAATCAATCCCAATATCATCAATTATATGTAAGTAATTGTCAAATATCTATTCTTGTTTGTAGAGATAAAAGCCTTTTTTTTTACACTTAATATATTGATGTAATCGAATGTAAATTTATGTTAAGAATTAGTATTATTACTACTTTTCAAATTAAAAAAAATTATTTTCTGTTCAAATTGAGAAGATACAATAAACTTAACTGCAAATAAATTTCATTATATTTGATTCTTTCTTGCATATTTAAAAACTGAAGTGTTCATTCCTGATGGAGAATATTATCCAGAAAGTAGCAATATTTGAATAATTGAATGAGTTTAGTAACTTGCAAAAAAGTTAAATGCATTAAATTTTTTTACTGCTTTAATTCCCACCACATCTGCTAATGAAATCATCTGCAAAAATTAATCCTTCATACACATTAATTACCAGTTTTAATTATTTGCTTTTCTATTAATCGTTTTTTCCCTGTATGTTAAATTAATTACTTTTCATTTGTTGTTTTATTTTTATAATCAGTAAAAATTGTCAGATTTATCACTTTGATAAAAAGCCTTGAAAAGTTCTGTGATTAAATTAAATTGGGAATCACTAAAGAATGATTTAATAAATAAGCAAGTAGGATTGGGCTCAGTAAAAACAGCATTTGAGTGGGTGTGCTGAGATTGTTAGTCATGTATCGGTGTGAAGTTCTCAATCATAAGAGCCTTATATCATGAACAAAATGGATTGACAATTATTATTTTTTTGCTGTTTGTTGATTGTAGTTCCATTCTGTGTATTGAATCAAACAAACATAAGTAATAATTTGTTGCCTTCAAACACAATGAAGTGTCTTAGTTTATAAGAATTCATTGTGTTTGAAGCGACACAGTTTGAAGCACAGTTTCAGATTATTAAAATAATTAGTAATGCTATTTATTGTATGTTTATAAGTTATAAAGGTTGCTCTAGTTCAGTGTTTCTCAAAGGGGCAATATCGCCCCCATATGGGTGTTTTTCCATGTTGAGGGGGCGATTAGTAACAACTTATATTTTAGGGGAGCGAAAAACAGTTTTCTGGGCGATATAGTAAAATATTATATTAAGAATACTTAGATATTTTATTCGTTATATCGTACAATAATTAAACAAATAACATTATACTAATCACTAGTCTATTCAATGCAGTACGAATTTGGCGTTAGCTTTGGTCCTCGGCATCGGAATTTTGAAGTGAAGGGGCGATACTACGTTGAACGGGGCGACGATTCGTTAGAGGTTGAGAAACACTGCTCTAGTTCCCACACATCACATATTATACTTCTTATACAAGATGTTCCTTGTTTCCCTTCCTTCTATATGTTCTAAGTGTAGTAAAGTGGTCTATGTCAAATAAAATCTTTTTTGAACCAGAAGGAAGTCCTTCTGTCATCTGTCCCTTCATCCATAATAACCATCATAATCAAAGAAAGTGGCTAAAAGTCTTAACTATCATTTCTATTAAACTGATGTGAACAGATTTGTTTGTGTTTATTATGACAAAAAAAATATAATCAATGTTAGAATATCAATTTAAAATATTTCTTAAATTTACATTAAAATTTCAAAATTATGGAAATTTTTATTATTTAAATATTATATTAAATGAATAAAAAATTATGTATGTGTGCGTTGCTAAATATACAAAATTTATTGTAAGAATAATAACATACAAAACTAAAATATATTGAACCAATATTTTTTTTTCCAAAATTTAATCTGTACTATTTTTAAAAATTTTAATGTGTTAATGTATTGTTTGTAAGTTAGTTCAATTTTATACAAAGTAGAACATGAAAGTTGCCTTTAAGGGATTGAAAATGTTTCTCATGTAATATGATCAAATTATTTAAAATTGTTTAAAAAACATCAAAATGCCAAGTCTTTAATGATTTAAAGACTTTCCATATTAAAATATTTAAAATTCAATATATTTCTATTAGATACTTACAATTCATTAACCCAACTTTTGATAACCCAAAGTCAGTTAACTTGATATGTCCCATAGAAGTTATTAACAAACTGAAATAAAATTATTTTAATAAATATTTAATACAGACTTAAATGAAAATAAAATAAACCATACTTGTCAGGCTTTAAATCTCTATGTACAATTCCATAACTATGTAAGTATTCCACAGCAAGAACAGTTTCTGCAAAATAAAAACGAGCGAGATCTACTGGTAGTGGACCCATATTTTTTAACAATGTAGCGCAGTCACCACCTTCAACATATTCCATCACCATACATAAATGTCTCTAGAGAATTTTAAATAAAATATAATCACATGTATGCATAAAAAAACACTCTCTATAAAAACAGAAAAACATCAATTATTATTTATAGAGGTAAATAGTCTTTTCTTCCATATATAAACTACATGAAAGCAAATAAATATTACATATATTGGTTATATAAATAATACCGGAGAATAAAAAATAAAATTAGCCAAGTATAAAAATTTAGAAATTAATCTTACATTTTCCTTTCTTATCTCTTTCTTACTTTTAAATTTGTAAAATGTAATGAATCTAATTGACAGAATTGAAGATATCATATTACTAATTATAATTATCTGAATTTCTTCAATATTTTGAATTTATTTAAGATCTCTATAATTATGCATATATTCTTATACATTTTTAATATTTAATACAGCCATACCTCAAGTATCCAAATTCTTGCTACAATACGTAATACTCTTTACTATGCAATGCTATATCTGAATTGAACAATCCCAGTATTATAAATTTATTCAAACTGCATTTGTGAAAAATTTGTAATTAAGTGCTAAGTAACTAAAGTGAGAAATAGGAATGAATCTGTGTTCCAGTGTCTGTTTTCATTTGTTTGAGTGGCATATTTGTGTTATACTGAAGTCGTATAGTTCAGAGATTTTTTTTAATCACAAAATTTAAGTGCAATATTTTAAGCTTATCCTTAACAGTTCATTACAGTAGGTTCATGATCTTGTAATTTTCATTATTATTCTATTTTTATGCATATATTTATAATGCATATAAGTATAATTATGACATTTTTATTGCTTATCTACTATACATTAAAGAAAACAGTTCATATACTATTCCTAATAGGATATACTATGCAAACCTAATCATTATATTATTGCTTACAAACATATTCTATACAGATGTTAAAGGATATTTATTAATAGGCAATTACAATTTGTATGTTTAATAGCATGTTAAAATTATGAACTGATAGATAATAGGTCTCTCTGCAGAATTTTAATATCATTTGAGAAAACAGAATGAGGTTATTCAGAAAGCCTGAAAAGCACTGGTTTTTTTCCAAAGGAAATAACAGAAAAATGTTCTAATATCTGAATTTCTGATTTGAATCATTTTCAGGAACACTTTAGATCTGAATGATATGATATGGCTGTAATTCTCTGCATACAGAATATTTGAAAATATTGGAATTTTTATATAATTTGTACCTATTTTAATAAATACTCTTCAAATGTAAAAATAATTGGTTTTTATTAGTGAGATAAATGAATTACCTCATTACATTTTGCATGTAATTAAATCATTAAATTAGATTTGGCAATATAATAAGCCATCAGTTTAATGGACTAAGATTAAAAAAGATGTTCCTGAAACAACTGGTCTGTAAATGTTTACTACTTCAAAAAGGCACATCTAATATTCATGAATTATCCCAAACGAAAATTTTTTTTTATACAAAGCACTACAATTTATCCTTCAACTAAACTAGGAATGTGATTATAAATGAACAGTAGGTATTCTTTATGGACTAATTAACTGCTACATCAGCTTTAAAAAAAATGCTAGAACAGTTAGTCTAGAAAGCACAAAAAGAATCCAATTAAAAAAAATCAGCCCATCAAATAAAAAAGATATTGTTCTTTTTATTACTCAAAAGAAAACTTTTAACAGAATTTTATATAAAATGAATTTCAATGCAATGAAAATATTTTATTCTATTATTTAATACAATAAGGACATAAAGGCAATTAAATTAGCAATGAAAATATGTTTAATCATCTGTTTGATAATTTTATTGAATTCTCAAATGATTATTATAAAAAATAATGAAAATATATTTGGTTTATAATTTTAGAATTAAATAAATATTTATCATTTTCCATTCTTTATCTACTTAATGTTTTACAAACACTATACCATGATCTGAAACTGAAGTCATTTTTGTTTTTAGAACCAAACTCTTTATGGTCTAGAAGCTTTAGAGCCAAAATAGAAATTTTTGGTTTAATTTTCTCTAATATATCATTCTTCAAATATTTATTTTACTTCATACAACTTCAATTGTCATTCAATGTTAAAAATGATTATATGCATATTTAACAAACATCTAAGCTAATAACTGGTTGAAGAAAATCATTCTTAATCCAATCAGAAATACTTATATTACTATTAGATTGTTTATTATTGAATCAAAGCTTGCCAATTCTTTTGGTCTATAATATGTTTATGCATTAGTAATTTAACTGAATCTTTTAATTTAATTAATTATTCTAACAGAATTAAGTATAATTACACACACTGCAAATAAAAGTTGGATGCTCACCTTTTCTAACAGTTCTAGCCATTTTAGAATCAGTTTAAGTGTTGAAAAAGATTAAACTGTTTGGATACATGTTATTGATCAAAACAAATATGTAATAAGCTTTACAACTGTTTATGGTAATTTATATCTTTGTATTAAGAGATTAATAATGTATTTTTTAAACATTTTAAAATTTGATTAAATATCTTTATTTGCAATATAACATAATTTAATAAACTTTTATATTTGAATATTGATTTTGAAACTATTTTAGAGCTTTTATAATTTAAAAATTTGGAACTTAAAAAAATAAAAAATTGTCACAAAAATCTTTTTCATATAATATAGATAGATAAATAATTCCTAAAAATAAAAGATGGATGGATGTTCTATGAACTCTTTATAAATAAGTTGATAAGCACTTGTATAATTTAAGAGATTTAGTAAAGCACTGCATTGCATTATATTTTGTTTTCTGATTTAAAATTATATCAATTTTTCAATCCAAATTTAAAACTATACTTATTAAATATATCATATATATTTATTAGATTTAAATCTTACTTTTGTCTCAAAACTACACAGCATACTGACAACAAATGGATTATCTGTAAAACTCAGAATATCTCTTTCTGCAAATACTTGTTCAACTTGATTGCGAAGAACAAGATTATGCTTGTTGATCTTTTTCATAGCAAATCGTTGTCTGGTTTCCTTATGCCGAACAAGATACACAGCTCTAATATGAAAGTTTTAATTTAATGATTACTATTAAATTCAAGAAGACAATACTAGAAATAAAAATGCAAGAAATCTGTCAACAATTCTTACCCATAAGCTCCATTACTTATTAATTTTACAGTTTCGAAATCATCTTCTCCTGGGGACTTCGGTTTATTTGTTACTCTTTTAGAATTCTATAAATATAAAAACCTTTTAAACATATTACTGCTTTCTAAATCTCAAAATTTAATTATTCCATTTATTAAAAAAAGTAAAAACTTTCTTTTAAATAATTTAAGAATGAAATACCTCATTTTCATCCATTTGAAAATCAGTTGAATCAAATTCATTAGATGCAACATA